GAGAGTTTGCAAGAGACACCAAAATGTTTCGCAGAAAGCTTCATTCTCCTGTTGCTAGTATTTTTCACTGAAAAATAATTTTTGGCAGAAAATCCTTAGCCAATTCCATCGTAGGCTAGCCCTGCATGAGAAATTAAACTTGGCCTGGGAAAAGGCATCCCAAGAAAAATCGATGCACTGCTGGGCTTGCGTGCGTCTCCCTCCCTCCAGCTCCACTTAGAGATAAGGAATCCCCTCCTGCAAAGCCCTGTAACTCCTCCAGCCTCTGGTGTTCAGATAGAAATCCTTCAGTCTCAGCCCCCTCTGGTGCTCTCCAGACCTGTGTCCTGTGAGAACCTGTCAGGGAACCATGTCTGCATCCGAATTGTCCCTCTTGTGCAGGTACTTATCAGTATCTGGAGAGAGATTTGGAACCTTCAAGTTAAAAGTGCACAGGTACAGTAGTGTATAATAATGATTTGCAGGCCAGTCAGGATGTTCTATTTCATACGTGGCTGAAGGCACATTATAAATCTTTGCTGTGATCACCATTTCTACTTCACGTTTCCTTTTATAGAGAGGTGAAAGGTGCAAAAGGATTGACTGAATCTTTGAATTGGATTTTATACTGTGTCATTTCAGAGAGACTATAGACATCATAATTATAAACTGTCCCTTTATGTTCTGTATTTTCCCTTTAGTTGAAGGTAGTCCTTGCTCTGCTGCTGTGGGTGTTTTACCATTTACTAGTACCCTAGATTTCATGTGCTCGTACTCAGAAAAAGTGGTTATCTATAAAATTGTTTTATAAAAAAAGGTTGCTTGTTATGCATGTATAAATGAACATTTTTGGTCTTTGAGAAGTTAGTAATTTTTCACATTGTGAAGGAATGACTCTATGTTTCTTCAAAGTCTAGAGTACCTAATTTTTGTTCAAAGTGGATTAAAGACTTAACAGAGTAGTTTGAAAGAATAGCGTATATGTGAATGTTCTCTGGTTACTATAGTTGAAACATTCTTATTTATTTGTTATGCACATTATCTCTCACAGGTTCCAAAGAGTTTTAAACCCATGTCTCAATTAGCAAAGGTTACAGACCCTCTAGAGAGTGACTTAGATTTATGAGAAAGGTCTTACACTGAGAACACCTCAGAAAGCTTTATATTAGTTCAGAGGCAGCTGTGATTCATAGCACAATAAAGATAAACTGACCTTTTAAAGGCAAATATGCCTTGCTGATTACTCTACAGAGCTAAATGAACAAAGGTCTAACTAAGATGTTATATAACCACATCTCTTCTAAGCCTTGACTAAGTCTGTAAGAGGTTCTTTTGGCCAGGTATATAATTTCCCTTTGAACTTACGTGCTGCAAATACTTATATATTGCAAGGATATTCTGCTCTCCTCAGTAAAATTTTTGCAGCCACAAATAGAGATTTGTCTAGTTTGCTCTTTCACAGTTCTTAGAAATAATAAAGAAAATGTCACATTACCAGAAAACTGAGTGACATGTAGAAAAGTTAAGAGTTATTAATTAACTTGTAAGAGTAATGCAGAATTTAACTGGCAAAGGAAACAAGAATAGAAATTATAAAAGCAATATTGTCATCTTCCACCATCAACAGATGCAATCCTTTTACATTTGTAGAAGAAAATAGGCCTTCTTGCCAGCTGCTTTGACCTGGAGATGAAAGAATGCCAGTGACAGAGCTTAATCCAGTCTCACTAAAACAGCTCTCCCGTAAAAAGTACATAGTCCAAGTTGCATTCACACTTCAGATCTTCTGGGCACATTCCTATATGACCCTGAGGCACGATAATCACACAATGACTAGCAAGGAAGGGTTAATCCCACCTCATTCTACCTACTCTGCATTCTGGTACCTTTAAGTTGACTGTCTGGTACTCGGATGTTGATAGCTCATCTTTGCAGAGATGACCATACTCTGTGAGGATCTTTCCCCTGCGCTTAGGGCCATCAGTTGTGCTGTGATTCAGATACAAGGCTGAGTTTAATCTTGTAGGCTATTTGTCCTGTTAAGTGTCCTTCGAACACCCTGGGCTGACCACCATGCAGAGAAGGCAACGTGGAGATGCCAATGCCCTCCCGTAGTGCTTGCCCAGCCAGTGAGAAACCTGATTGTAGTGCTCATCTCACCCTGCAGAGGTTCAAACTTCTCTATCTTCTAAAAGCATCTGGTCCTTACGCACGGAGCTGCAGAAAGCAAGTGCGCTGGGACAGCAAGTTCCATCCTGCTTGTGGGACTGGCGTGGTGTGCATTCGAAAACACAAAAATCCTATTTGTAAGAAAAAAAATCAGGGAGGAAAGAATAAGACTCTGTAGCCTCTTGGTTAAACTCTGGGAGGACAGGCACCGAACCTTTTCCACTGCAAGGCTGACACATTGACGCTTGATGGAAATAACACAGAGAAGAGCGTCCAGCTCGTTAGCATGAAGTCCCCCAGGCCAAGGAGCTCAGCTCCTTTGCAGCTGGCAGAGGCAGAGCTGTTCAATTCCAGGGAAAAACCCAACACCCTCCCCTCAGGGACCTGCAAGCCTACGCTTTATTTCAGCAGGAAGGATGCAGCACTTGGCTTATGTGCTCCATATTCACTGAAGTACTGCTTAAAGTTCTTTACAAGTGTAGCCATATGTGAATTCCTTAAGACTAGATCCCCTGTCATGGCAAAATCAGGTCTCCAGACCTGACTAGTAGAATATATAGACTCTTCTATGATAACTTCAGGGATTTTATGTCAGAGAAGCCTTGTGAAAACAGAGAACTGTATATTGTTCAGTTTTTCTCCAACTCTTAAGCCTCTATTAACTTTTTTCCTCCATTATTAATCAGTAAAGTCCTTGTTTGCCTCTCACTTTTTTTCTTTCAATTAAGCCTTTCCAAAATAATCAATGTTAACAGTCTCTGTCTGTTAAAACTACACATAATACACATAATTTTCCCTCTTTATGGAGACTGTTACAGATGTTGGCTCTGTAGTTTGAAAAGAGGATGCTATCAAAATAAAGGAAGCAAATATATTTCTTGGACAAAAAAGATCATTACTTTTGTCAGGTCTAAGAAGGACTTGAGACCTCATACTCAAGGAACAAGCTAAGGCAGAATCACGACTCACGGAGGCATTTCAGGTTAACACGGTATGCAATGAATACTAGCAAGAAAGGCCAGGATGAGATAACACAATAAAAGTGCATTTTTCATTGATTGGCTCTCCGTGTAATTTGAGAAAAAGAGCTGTTGCATTCTTGGATTGCTGCCTCACTAGGGAGCTTTTCTTTCTTGCAAGCAGTGGACAATTCTTCTCAGAGAGCTTAGCTGCACGTCAGAAAGTGATCGATACGTTCCCTCTTCTCTTTGTGATTGACCCTTCTTACTTTGCCTGGAATACAGACATGCGATATTCTAGTGAGGCAATAGATAACTCAACTCTAGGGTTTATTTCAATGGTATAAGCTTGCCAAGATAATGCAGGTTTTGCTAGAACTTCGTACCTGTGCATCGCCAAGGATTGCCCGCCCTCGGTACCTGCAGGATTCTGGGTTTGAAAACAGGACTTGTGTCTCCCCCGTAGGGCATTAAACACCTCCTAGGTCTGGTCTGAAGAGCTGTCGGGGTGCTGGAAGGTCTAGGGGCTGCCTCGGCGGCTGTGCTGGCCGAAATCCGGATCCAGGTGTGCGGCAGAGGGAGGGATGCTGCCGCTGAGAGGATCTAGGCTCCTTACCCCTTTCTTACCCTTCCTTTGCCTAAAATGATTCCCTCGTCTAAATTTACTGAATAAAGAAGTAAACTTATTGCCTAAAGTTATTCACTTGCCTTTATATTTTTGGAAAAAAAAAAAAAAAAAAAAAAGTTAGGGGGTTCAAAGCTTCTGTAACTGCTGCTGTTGTTGCTGGGGTCGATTCCTGCTTCCCTGAAAATGAATTGGGGCAAATTCACAAAGGGCGAGAGCAATATATAGTAGACCCATAAGGTAATTGCAGAAAACTAGAGTATATTCCACTTCAGTATCCTTCTTTGTTTATAGCGCCAGTTTAGCAGATCAGTTTTGCTTCTCAAAAAAGCAGTTTCAAAATTAATTTTCTTCAGGTAAGAGCAATATTTTTTTAAGCAACACATAATTTGTTAATTTACTATTTAGTCTAAATACCAAAACAAAGTAATGCCTTCCAACCTTGTTTTTGTACAATTCTAAAATACCCAAACCCTAACACTTTCAGCAAACTTTGCTCTAAAGAGGACATCTCTGTGTCACTGTGTAGGAAAACCTCACAAGCTTATGATCTTAACATTGCATTTATAAGCTCCAGCTTATCTATTTACCTGTATTCTAATGAAAACCTTATTGAAATTGGTATGGTTCTTCACTTGAGTCACATCCATTGAACTTCATTACTCAGATGCAAGTCATATAATAGTGAAAACACTGATAATTACTGAGATCTAAAACTCCTTTCTGCACATACTAATTAATGTTATACAGCATTTTTTAGTTAAATGATTGTATGATTTACGTCTATGAAATTTAAGATTAAGGAGAGCTCTTTTGGAGGAGAATTAAGAAGATAGATATTCAAAGTGACAGAAATACAGTTACAGTTTTAAATAAATTTATGTCCATTATCTCATACTAAATGTGTTATAAAGCAGGTGCCCTTGCTGTGATTTTTACTCGAGATGCCTCTTTCAAATTGGAAAGTGGTTTATACCTTCCCCAGTCTTTTGATTATGGGAATATGATATAACAGAAAACAGGCCATACTTTGAAATAGATTTTCATACAGACAGACACAGAGTAGTAAGAGAGAGCTTGTTCAACGGGGAGCCTGTTGAACACAGACGGGATCTCATTGCCTTGCTATCCTTTGCATGACTGAGGATATTGGCCTTCATTATTAAACTTCAGTATCATTTTATATAGAAATTGAACTGATAATGGATTTCTTTTTCCTGTTTTTTAACCTCATGCTCTCTCCAACCTGTGACATCTTGGCTCGGCAGCCCAGTCATCCCATAGTGCCTATTCCAGAAAATGAAACACTCGGCTCTAAGGAGGTAATCAGTTGATATTTAATAGGTTTAACCATTTGCATGCTAGCTTTATCTTTTATTTGTGTAGATTGTGTAGACTTCATGAGCAAAAATGTACTGAGCTCCCAAATCTGCTTTTGTCCAGTGCACAGACTAGATAAGCATTAATTATTCTTAATGATTAATGAAGGAAAAAAAAAACAGAGTTGTTTTTCAGACTGTGTTGCTTATGTGAATTTGGAGTAACACTAACATTTACACTTTAGGTTCCTGATATGTGCTGTTGGGATGTTAGCAAGTGGGATGTGTTAAATTGTGCAGTTAGCCCCATTTAAATCACGCATTCCACAATTTGCAGTGACTGGTATAGTTTCTGTTTTAAATACCAGATACAGCAACTACCACAAGCACTTAAGATAATTAGTTATTGAGAATTTCATAAAGGACTGTCAAGAAAACATAAAACAACACATAGTGCAAGTTTGCCCAGTATCAGAATTCAGTGCCAGTTTTATTTGACTTTGAAGAAGGACACAGATCTTCTTGAAGTCTAAATTCAGTGGCCAATTCCCTACTACTTTTACATATCTAAACTCTAGGACCATAGTGGTTACCACCCTAGATAATTCATTCAGTGAGAGCTAAAGTGCTCTGCTACACATCATCAATTTTCTCTTGAGACAGAGTATATAAAAATTAAAAAAGTTCTGCTGGCACAGGCAAGTTTTTTTGCCAACAAGATCATGAACATGAAGCTGAATTATAGCCTCAATGTTGAAATAAACATATGTAATTTAATTAACTATCATATTCTTTATTGTAGGCTTTGGAATGTAATAGAACATCTTTAATTAAAGGACATTTTCAACATTATTTTAGAAATTCACATAAGAAGGAATAACTTACTACCAGTAACAGCAATATGAGTACGTTTATGACACAAGAATGAATTTTTTTACTACCGAGACCTCTCTCGGTTACCAGATATGTGCTCACAATTATTTCACAAGTTTTTTAATGAGTTTAACAATATAGATAGGAATGATAATTACATTTTTGTAACACAGTTTATTTAAAATTTATTATTTTAAACTTGGATTCTAGTCTTGCTAAAAGCAGAAAAATGAGCATTTAAATAAATGAAATGGATGTTTGCTAATAATTGCTACCAAATAAGTAACTTTCTTGTTGTTTTGAAAAATATTGAGGGAGTTTTGAGGTCAAGCCCTTCACCTGTTTAGAGGCCTTCAGAGAAGCAGAGGGTTTGCCTGAATTCTGAGTTTGTTGACAGCCTGTCAATATATCCTCACTGTTTATCTCAGTTTCCACTGAAAAAAAAAGGTTAAAAAAAGTAAAAGAAAGAAAGAAAGAAAAAAAAAAAGTAGACAACTCGCTTGTTGGGTGGATCAACAGACTGCTGCTCTGCACCAGGAGTATATGAGACATGAACGTACCCTCTTATTCTCATGTGCACCCCTGGCCTCTCTGTGCAGGGGGTCAGGGACTTAGAGCTACTTCTTATCTCTTTTTGTTGGAATTTTCATCACAGCCTTCCAGCCTCCTCCCTTCTTCCCTGCCTTTGACCTTTCTGCATGTTTCTACACCATCAATCCCCTTTCCTCTGCCTCCCAAGAGCCACTTCTTGGTTTTCTCAAAAGCAGTTGTTATGGTTTCTGCTGCGGATCTATCCAAAGGAAGCCCCAAGACGCTTTCAAAAAGTGAAGTTAGACAACAAATACCTTGCTGAGCTTCTCAGATATACGTTGGTTTTTTTACATCTCATCTGTAAAGTTTCTGAAATACTATTGAATAAAGATATTTCATTAGAGGGTGGTGAGAGGGACTGAATAGTTCTGAGGATAAATTTGCCGTTGAGATGAAACAGATTTGCACTACATCAGGCATCCCAAAATATGTATGTATATACACACATATGGATATATGTGTATTTGTGTAAGTGTGTGTGTATATATATATATATATATATATATAAAAATCTCTGTATGCATGTGTGCATATATATATATCTGCAGCCTCTGATGATGCAGATGATTTTCCTGTATTTGAAAATAAGATAGAGGAAAGCAAACAGCTATATCCACATGTCTCATCCTTCTTTACAATTTACACATTGAGGAAGAGTTTTGCAGATCTAATGGAAACACAGATCTTTTCAAACAGAACTCTTTTAAGAAACAAGACACATAATTTAACTGTTGCATTATTCAGATCAGTTCAGAAAGTGAAGCATCTCATTGACATAGTAAAGTCAGACTACTGTGACTGAGATATTCTTGAAAACATGAGGTTGTAGCATGGTCCAAATTGACAATGACAACAAAAGTGTAAAATTCCTTTAGTACGAGACCAACTTAGTCTGTTCCAAGGCAGATAAAATATATAGCATTGTCTTCAAAAAGTTGCTTTGTGTTTTAAACAAACACTTCGAACAGAATTTCTATCAACCTATTTATTACAAAGTTTGAATGTTCTCCAACAGTCGAAAACTATGTACCATGACCTATAGAATAAAGATCTCTGATGAAATTGTGGTTGCATTTATAAAGATCAAAGACTATCAAGTGGAAAGAAGAGGATTTATCTGGGCTGTTATATCAGTACTCTTTGTATTTCCCTTGATTAACGTCGTATTGGGTGATGATCATTCACCACTTACTTACAATAATGTTAGCTGGAGGCAAATAGTTAGCTTTAAAGTTAAAAAAAGTGTCAGATACTATTTGGTACAGCTGAGCAAGCTGTGTTTTTGTGCATGTTCCCTGGGGCCTGTCACTAATGTGTATTTTTTAACTGACTATAACTATACAGGTGGACTCCAGTCCATAGGTAGATACAGCAGGAAGAATTGTGTCAAGGTCACCACAAACTGGTCAGGAAATAACATCAAGAGATGACACATTTTCTGTTTTCTTTATTACAAATCAAAGAAAGTCTTCTCCAATTAACTTTTCAAAGTACTTGTACAGGGCGTGTTATCTAATTTTTTTTCCCCAATTTTCAATCTTACTTTTAGCAAGAGGAGGTGACCAGGGGACACCATCCTGGCCATGTTGAGACTGAGCAATGTCTTTACATGTTTAGAGGGTAGCAGAGAAGACACAAATACATCTAGAGATCATCCCCCCTTTGCTCATTCTCAGTCAAGAAGGACTGAACAAAGGCATATGTTTCCCTTGAGATCTGTTGCTGGAGATGGAAGTATACAGCACTGACACCCAGAGGGAGATCAACATCTGTGTTATCTTGGAGACAGACAGGAGAGCTACATAGGGCCAGGAGCAGCTCAAAACAAACTCTTCGTAGCTGCCCTGAGGGTGGTGGCTTCTTTGAGATATATTGTTGTTGAGCTGTCTCTGAAGAGCCACCACATTCTCACCATTTTCCCTTTCATGTGCCTGGGTCTTCAGAATTGCATGTTATGCTGCTTTCCCTTGTCAGTGCATTGAAAAAAATAAGGTAGGCCTTGGCTGATGATTTTTAAAATCACAACATCTTTCAGGCACCTATATTGTTCCTTCTTATTTAGGAACCTATCTTGACTCTAGGAACTGTTTATACTGAATTTACACTTCATGAGTTTACATAACCCACAAGCCTCCACCTAATATAAAATGTCCTTTTTATCAGTGAAGTCCTGTTTGGATGCTGAACTGGTTAGGAAAAATTCTAAGTTATAAGCCCAACATTACTCTTACTGCTGTAATAAGACCTTAGATCTCTGTCCTGTAGTCTCCGCCCTCATCAAAATGCTCTACTTTATCAAAAATTTCATATAGGCTCATACTTAACAACTTCTCCTGCAATGTTCCTCCCTCAGAGTTAAAAACACAGTTTGAGAAAGTCAGTGTGATTTATGCAATTCCAAAAAAGAATGGGTAGGCAGATGCTCTGTGAAATGTAAGCACCTCCTTGACCTTTAGGAAGGAGTGAGAGAGGGGAAGAAGGAAAGGTGCTGCTAGTTCCTACTTAGTAATTTGTATTCTTTTCCTCAAAGAAGTGAAGTATTCACTGGGGGAAAAAAAAAAAAAAGGAGTTACCTTTGTATTCAGAAGAACAGCATTCTGTTTTTCATGCAACTTTAGCTTTTTTCTATAACAGCATGAAGCAAATCAGATCTGTGTCTTCTCTGTGAAAGCAGGAAAACAAATAAAGGACATTCTTCTCTTTGTCAAATCCTTCTCTACAGCCAGTGCTTTTTAGTCGGAAGAGGTCTGAAGGATACTCCTTTAAAACCTAACCAAGAGATATACCAGTAATTTCTGATACCTACTGTCTTCTTTCAAGTAAAGCTAGTGTTTTCCCAGGTTACGATGTGTGAATGATGTTATAATCATTCTCAGAATTGTACTGAGACAGAATCTTTAGAGAGAACATGGGGCCTATGTACCTGCAGAGTCACAAAAAGACATTGCATGCAGGTGCTAAAGGTATGTACTCATTGCCCTTATTCATATATGACTTGCAAAATCCCAGGTCTATTATACAATTACTTTAGCTTCATATAATCTTTTGCTGCAGCTGTTACTCTGTCTTATCTGTTTGTTATTCCTGAAAGATCTGCAATAATTATTTGAGATAATAATAGCATCTGTAAGGTCAACATTCATTAAAAGACCTCATGAGAAAAAGCTGATTCCATCAACTTCAGTGGTGACAGGATTTCACTGACTGTCTTTTGCGCAAATTTGTGAGAGTTTTAGTACAAGAAGCTCTTTTTTTTTACAAGGAGAAACAATTAATCTGCCATGCTCCACTTTAAACAACTTTAATAGCAGAAGGTCTTGAAATTTGAAATTCTATGAAAATGTCAATAAGGTCCAAAGTTCTGTTATACATTGCTCTTAATCTTTATTTACTTAAGGAGTGTTCCTGGTTAGAGGTTGACATTAGTATTAATCATTGATAGGTTCTACATATAAGAAGAAAATGCACCCATTTTATGAAAGAGTCCTTGTACTAAAGAATTTATGTAAAGGTTTTTACGTTAGACCAAAGCTCCAACCCAAACGGCATTATCAGAGCAGAGTGATGTTCCTCCAGTCAAAGAAACTGTCATTGTACCCTGGATTTACAAAGAAAAAACCCAGAGCTTACGCAATCCCCCCCCCTCAAAGTTGCTTGACATCACGACCACGTTGAAGCGGGGATGGATGAGCGTGGGCTGTGCCCACAGTGGAGGCCTGTCCTTCCCTGTCTCTGGTGGGAAGGTACGAGGGCAGGGTACAGTCTCCCTTCTCCTCCAGCTTATCCTGAGAGCCTGGGAGAGGCTGCTGCTGGTGGTTAGATGTTCTGCAATGATCCACTTCTCATGTACTGTTCAATACCTTTTCGACTTGTAAAGAAGATCCCTGTCAAAGCATGAACAGGGGGATGGGAGATACCTAATGAAACTAGAGGGAACTGTATTGGAAGCTGCTCCTGCTCAAATGTCAACTTCTTTGTTCCAGCACCTTCTTCTTCCATTTGGTGCTGGGACAGGTCCTTCTCTGCATGCAGACATTTTGGGGCAAAAGACTGTGTTGGTCTTGCGCTTTCATTGGAGACACAAACACAGGCTCACCTGTCACATTGCGGACACACTATTCACTTTCTACTTTCAGTGTTGCATAAATTTACAGCCCTGTCCTCCAGCCAGTGGAGAGCTTGGTTATATTGGTATGGCAGAACATCGCTACCAGCTCCGTAGCTAGCCAGGCTGCAGAGCACGCGTGTGCTACACCGTGACACCGTCAGCATCTCCTCTGTTCCCACACTTGGGATGCAGGGGCAGAGTAACTTGCAGCACTGCTGATTTGCAAGTTTATGAATTATCTAATGAACTGGGGGACATTAGGCAATTCATAAAGAATGCTTCACGGACTGAGACTAAGCATAGAGATCAAAGCAGCAAGTAATAAGGCAAAGAGCAATAGCGATACATGTAAAAAAAGGCTCTCGGATGATGCAAATTAGAAAATCCCTTGATGCCACTTACCTCCAAAATAAGAACTGTTCTGACTTGACCTGTGATCTTCCAAAATTATTTTGGAACACACTGAACAGTACTTCTCTAAAGCGATAGTCTCACCACTCTTAGTTTATTTTGACCAAGCCAAGGACTGCAGCCCTAGGCTCTCTCCATATCATCATAACTGTTCATTTAACTGAAAATTTAATGATCCTGCAAATGAGCATTAAAAGTAGGAATAACTATTGCTTTTACTAAAGGAATAAGAATTTCAGATGTTAGCTGTGACAAATTCTTTTACCTCCAAAATGGATGGGGTACTAAAAGGGAACAGTAAACTGCAGTCTTCTGTTATTTATAAATAGAAAGGTAGGTCCAAAAAATGCACATTTGTAAATTCTCAAATAAAACCTCTAAATATCAGCAGACATACTTTCTACTTACTTTATACTTTAACAATGTTTTAAACATTTTAATTTTTAATACTTTATATGTACAACAGGAAATTTATACTTGCAATGGGTATTTGGGCAATGCTTTTGGCCAGCTTCAATGATATCTCCTTGTTTTAAGTAAGAAGTTTCAGTTATAGCCTACTGACATGAAAGGGCATATTAGATCACCGTGCATTAACAAGGAAAAAGCATTTTGTGCATTTATAGGATTTTATTTCTAATGTGATCACTATAAAAAGAATTACTGTAAATGTATTGCTTACGGTAAATTTACATTAAGAAGTCTGAAAGGGTAGTAATATAAATGTAATACAGATAAAGTACAAAATGTCAGTATGTCATTTAAACTGCCATTTTAATCCGATTCTATTTGGCTTTAAGAAACAGCTGTTGTGTTTGGTCCCCTTTAAATAATGGCAGGAATACTGTGTAATAGTTTAGAGGAAAAGAGCTTGCCCTGAATACAGTGAGAACACAGTTGCAGTTTGAAGAAGGCTTTTTTATTATGCAATACTTAAGTAATGCATAAGTAATTAGAATCACATAATAAGACAAAAATTAGTTATAGTTATAGTGACCACTCTTATGATAAAAAATATTTTTCCTTATGGCTAGTTAAAATTTTCCCACTTGTTGCCTCTTTTCCTTTCACCATGCAAATCTGAGCTGTCTATAAACCCCACTTAAATAGCTGGAGAGGGAAAATAGATACCCTTTACCCTACTCTTCAGGTTAAACAAGTCCTGTAGCTTCCCCTCATATGTCATATGCCTTTCCCAGAAATCAAGGGATGCTCGAAACCATCCTGATGGTCCTCCATTGTGTTTCTTCTGTTTGCTTGGCAAATCTTTTCTATTGGGAGGGCTCAAAAATGGAAAACGTGTTCCAGATGCAGCCTCACTAGTGCCCAGCAGAGGGGAATAAAAACTTTCCTCAACCTGCTGGCTATGCTCTAATTAGCGCAGCTGTATATGAGGTTATCCTTCATCACAACAAGGGTGGTCTGATCCACGTTCAGTCTGGTGTCAACCAGACCTCAGGTCCTTCTCTGCAGAGCTGTTACCAAGCCAGTCAGCCACTGGCCTCTACTGTTGATGGGGTTGTTTACTTCCCCTGCCCCCAATGTCCCCTGCCAGATGCAGGATTTTGTATTTGTCTTTGTTCACAAATGTCCTGCTAGCCCATTCCTCCAGCTTGGCAAAGTTCTCCAGGATGGGAGCCGTACCCTCAGCCTATCAGTCTCTCCCTCCCCACCAAGTTAGTAACATTGACAGAATTCCTGGACATGTAGGCTCTCCTACCACCCAGCTCCCCGCTGGAGATGTCACCCTAGCATCCTCTGGAACGCCACCTGGAACAGAGACTTTGAGCTGTTGACTACTATCTTTTTAGACCAGTGGTCCAGCCAGTTATTCATCCACTCTGTAGCCCAGAGTTGGGTACCAAGTTACTGTAGGAGACTGTGTTGAAAGCCTTGCTAAGGTGGAGGAAAACAACATCCATGCCATGTGAATGCAAGGTTGGCCACAGGCTCTGTTCTCTCAGGATGTGGTCCCAAAAACCGAATGGAAACCCAACATGAGTCTGAAATGTCCTCTAATATGCATTTAGCCAAGGTGATGCTTGTCTGTTGAAATTTTACTATGTGCAGTATACTTCTTCAAACATGTCGACGCATAAAAAATCATCCCCAGTTCAGTAAGCATTGTTATAAATTAACAATGCAGGAAACCAATGTTTTTAAAAAACAAGGTGCTGTATGAAGTTGTCCACCAGTTTGTAGAACTGTGCCTTCTTAATATACTGCCGTTTTTATTCTCTTCTCTACTTTGTTTTCACCTTTTATTTCCCTTTATTCTACAGGTTGCCAATGAAAGAGGTTCTGTTTAATGATAGTGGTGAGTATTACTATTTTTCTGACTTGATTGCAGTCACACTTTGAATATGTAACTACTTCTTTAGTGTCACTTAAACAAACTTCTATGGTTTTGTTTAAGAAGATGATAGGATACTTTAGCTATACAATGTAGTGTTTGGATAATAAGCTGGCTATGTTTGCTGAATGATTTTCTATTAACAATTACCAATGCAGAATAATTCCACTTCTTAGCATCACAAAATAAAGTCACAATTTAATTAATTTTGAGAGGGCTGCAATCAAAGAGCTGGAAGAAATTAAGGTATGGTCAGGAATTAGATTGTGAAGTAATGTCATTGAAATAAGATGAATATTATTTTATATTTGCGTGCATAACCCCATAGCGCCATTAAAATGAATGGTTTGCTAGAGTTAAACAATACTATATTGCAAATAATGTGCTATGCTTGAGAGCAGATATAACACAGTACTTCACAAGGGACATCAGGAAATAGGTGATATAGAAAAGGCTGAAATGTTCAATGTCTTTTTTTGTTTGTTTCAGTCTTCACGAAAAACCTTAATTATGATGAAAAGTTTATTTTAGTTATTATTAAGAATTTGGGAGTAGGATCATGGAGAGAAAAGCAAAAGAACACCTGAAGGAATACTGAGGTAAATTGGAGTATTCAGGATGACGCAGCCTAATGAAACGTACCCTTAAAATACTTAACCAAAGCAATTTCTCAAACTCTAGTGATTAGCAGGATGAATAAGTTCCTAGAAAACTGGAGAAAGGTGAACACGATGTCATATCTAACAAAGGAGGAAAGGCGAATCCAAAGAATTACAGAAAAGTCAGCCCTAATAGCATTTCCAAGACACTGGAACGAAGTATTAAACAACCCATTTGTAGGCATCTAGAGAATAGTAAGGAGATAAGAGGACTTGCACAGGGACACGTCAGAAACAAATCCTATCAAGTTGATCTCATTTCCTTCTTTGACAGCAAAACAGATATAGGGAATGTGTTTGATACAGCGTACCTTCGGCCCAGTCCCACGAGACATTCATAAGCAAGCAAAGCAGATACGGACTAAATTAAATTCACATAATGTAGATGTGCAACTGATTGGAAGGCTGGCTGGGCTCTGAGAACAATCATTTGATGCCAAAGTGGGAGAACATCTCACACAGGCTTCCACAACGCTGTCTTCTAGCTCTAGCACTATAAAATATTGCCATTAATTACTTGCTCAATCACATGGAGAGTAAGCTTACAAAATTTACAGATAAAGCCCATTTGGGAGGACTTGCAAGCAGCTTGGAAAGCAGGATTAGAATTCCAAAAATGTCCCTTACATTAGAGGAATGGCTTGCAATCAATATGATAAAATTCATTGAAGACATATACAAAGAAATATGAAAAGCGCAGACAGAAAAGGAATTACAATAATACTGCAGGAGAGAACCTGAGGATTACAGGGGACCGCAAACTGAATCTGAGTTGAAGAGGCGATCCTTTTAAGAAAAATGCCATTCCAGGGAGATGTGGAAGGGAGTGCTTATAATATGATGGAGGTAATTACTCGTCTTTGTTCAGTATTAGTGAAGAATCAGTTGCATGGGATGTGGAAAACAAATGGGAGATTTAGAGAAGATGTAAAGGTTTCAGTGTCTTCACAGAAGGAAAGAAATAAGGGCAGAGTAGAGGCACAGAAGTTTATATCTCTTCATAATGGACTGTTATAAAGGGATATTAGTCACTTCTCCATCCTTCCTGAGAGCAGAGGAAAAAGAAATGGGTCCAAATTTCAGGGAGAGAGATTTCATTTAGAATCTGGACAGTTGTGGCTATATGGAAATTTAAGTGCTAAACCAGTTTACCTCCGGCTGTTGCAAAGACAGGCAAACATCTCACAAGGTAGGTTTGGTCTGCCAGCTGTCATCTTCTCTCACAGCTATAGCACAAACAAGGTGGCTGAATATATCATTAAGGTTTTTTTTCTGTGAAACTATGAGTTACACTTGTTAGCAAGATCATCAGGTTGTACAAATTAGGAAAACTAAGTGACCGCAGTGCATGTTACACAGTTTATTAATCTGTATTTTTGACAACTTGTGTTCATGTGAAAACTCTTCTTTTGCAGCCCCGAATTAGGATCAAGAGCTAAAACCATAGAGTATTTTGAGGCCTGTTTCTATACTGAGAAGGAATCCACGGCACAAATGTTATTTAAAGCACCATTTAAAAAACAAAAATTGCTTCCAGTATGCTAATTGCAAAGCAGTAATAACAATCAAATATTCTTTCAAGAGATAATCTTATGTACTAGCATAATTAACCCCAGAGATACACACATGAATGTGCCATATTGAAATACCATTTCTTGAAGTGCTTGCTGGTTTAAGAGATGCCCAATATAACACCGCATATTTTCTTTAGAAATAATATAAATGTTGAAATTAAATAAAGCTGTATTTTTGTTGCAAACTGTTTGTTGTGATTCTTATTTTTACTCCTGTAAATCTAGCTCCATGTATTTCAAATAGCTGAGAACAAATGCCAGCATCGTTGGGAAAGGAATGCTCCCACGCTCTTAACCTCGGTCACATTTTGCCACCACACAGACACTTACATTTTGTGAAACACTCCAGGAATTATTCACATTTGTGTCAGCACCCACAGCAATCAGCATGCACGGCGATTCTTCCCTGCCATGAAATATTCATTGCCGTTTTGACCAGGCAGTGTCCATGCCAGCTGGTGACTGCAGGCAGAATTACTAGCTGCGCTCCTGGCGCACGTGGAAGAATCACCACTTTCCTCTGGAGTTTATGCTGCTGGTTTTTTTGACCCTGTGCTGCTCCCCCACAATGTTGTCCGAGCCTGGATCTTAAGCAGTTTTCTTCCAAAATGCATTATAAAAGTCTAAGGAAGCTGACTGTCTACGCTTGCACGAGTCAACTGTCTTCTCCCTGATCCCCTGAACCTTTGAACCAGAAGTCACCCCACAGTTACGTATACGTTCAGGACCTTTGCATTGCAGCCCTGTCCTCACACACTGCTATGTGTTGTGTTTAAGATTAATATTTTAATGGGAATCGCTGCTGCTTTCATTAAAAGGATGTGATGAACTAATGTATAAAATATTATCATCAGTCAAAATATTAAAATTAAAACCAGGTTAAACAGAATAGTTCTTAGGCTACTCAGCCTCTTGCACTATTGGACCTGGTGTAGTTTCAATCCAGCCTGCATTTAAACTGTTGAACTCTGGAACTGTGAAAAGAAGAGAAGTTCAGCAACCAGCAAGTCTCTCTGTGTAGGTAAAATATACATTTTTCCCTTGATAGAGGACCACACATGTCCTTCAGAATGTCATGGACAGAGTGATAGACATAGAAGGGTTGGTTTTTTATTAGTTTCTTTTCTCAATAGAAAAATAATAGAAGTGTGTGTATCTTGTGGACAGCATACCCATTAACAGAGGGTGAAAAAAAAAATCGAGAAAAGCATTTCAGTGAATTCAAGAGAAAGTTCCTGGGGACAGAAATCAACACATATAGATGAGTATAACAAAAAAGTACTGAAAACTTTAAAAAATAAATATAAATGCATACATATAAACACATCTATAGATGTGTTATAAATGTGTTATAAATCTTGTACAAGATGTAATAGGTCTATCCACCAAGGACCTGATAGTATTTCTTGTTTTCAGTAGAGCATAAAGTGGGCAAAATTCATATTTAGAACCAGTGTGATCTGTGTGATTCTCAAAAGTCTTAGTAAGCTTTCCTGCCCATTTTTTTCCAAACCATTTGCTCTGTTCTGAATTTGTTCCAAACCCAGCTTTCTTTTCCCCTTGAATTTAATTTTTGTAAAGCCCAAAGCCCATCTAGCATGTCTAGCCAAGAGGATTATTCACATGGTATGGTTTAGGTTTAAATTAGGCCAGGTGATAGATTGAAGCCCATAGGAGGAAGGAACACAAGCAAAAGAAAGAACTACTGGGATTATAGGAAGGGCAAAAGAGGAATCCTTTTGTTGACCTCTGGGTTTGTGAGTTTGTTCATCTGTGCATACTTTAAAAAACAGTTTCCCTATCTGTTCAAACGACTTCTGTCTATGAATGAAAAATGAAAATATATTGGCAATTACAGCCTAGGAATTCTATCCTGAGACCAATGGAAAAATTATTAAGAGACAAAAATCTTTTAAGGAGAGATTATAAAGAGCAAAACTCAACATGAAAAATTGATTGCTTTTTCAGTAGTACTATAAAATTAATGGATGTTGCTTATTCAATAGTATAATATATTTAGTCCAAGTTCTGATGACTTTACCCTGCGTTATTTTTCTGGTAAAATACACATTCCTGTCAGGATCACAATGAATGCCTATGTTTAGCAAGGGCTTATGGTCCCCTTTTTCCCTCATCCTCTCTTGCAGTCTGATACACAGTGCTCACCCCATCCTGTGCATGCCTGTGGTGTTTCTGTTGTTGCTATGTGCTACAACTCAAGCTGGCAAAAAAAGGACTTCTTAAAGTTGGCCCAAGTGGTCAGAAGGGAGATTTGGCTAGCACAAAGGATGTATCTGGGTAGTGACATAGAATGGGCCATGGGAAGGAGGCTCAGAAATCATTACTTGAGAAAATTCAGTTGCTACATCAGACTAAGGGCAGCCCTTGGCCCAAGGGTTCAGCTCTCTGGGATCCAAAGCCTGGTGTGGCACAGCTCAGTGGTCTTGACTCAGTTTTAATGAGAAAATTGCTTAAATATCAGGAAGTTCACAAGCTAAAGCTGTGCAAAATGAGAAAAGCGAAAGCACAGAGAGAACCGTTTTGTTAAAAGGGTTAACAGTAGCAGCTCATGGATACAAAAGGAAAAATCCATACCCTAAGGTATAAAAAAATCCTTAAAAGCAGAGACTCAGAAAGTGGCAACTCAGCAACACTGAGGATCAGCCTGTTATGAGGATTAAGAAGCCCAGTCCTTCCCTAACTGACCGAGGCTTGCCTACACT